GCTCCAGCAAGGATCTGAGCAGTGACCTGAGAGGTTCCCAGCCCTGCTTCCAGCTCCTCCAATAAGAGGCCAGGCAGCTCGATGTGAGGCTGGGGCTCTGGGAAGGTCAAGACCCCCAGCAGCTTGGAGCAGTGCTACCAGTGGTGACTATGTGGCAGCATTTCTGCTTACTATGTGGGAAATCTGAGTTTAAGTCCCAGCTGGGGTGACTTCGGGTGAATGAGCTAACAAGAAGCAAATCTTCTTGCAGTGGAAAGGGGCCATTGTGCTTTCCCCCTTTCTTCCCCTCCAGGTACCTAGACCCTATATTTCCTTGTCACTTGACATTTTGTATTTTGTGCCTTTTTATATTTCACCAACCAGTATTGTTTGCTCTGCTGTTTGTGTTTTATACTTTGTTAACCCTGTCTTTTGTCAATGATTGTAAGTGTTTAACCTTTGTTGAATCCTGCCCCCTTGGGGCATTGTGGTGTTTACTATTCCCCCTGATTATGCCTGTTATGTTCCCAGTATTGTTCCCTCATTAAAAGGTATATGGTTAAGTCCCCATTGGTGGTCTGGCTTGGCTCTATAGGGGGAGGAGAGTCCCTACACCTCCCACAGAGCTTGTGCACCTGCTTTGATCCCTTCAATTGGAGAGGGGGTACCTCTTGGAGTACCGCCCGGGTTACACTGAGATTGGTACCCAAGGAGGATGACTGGAGACATTTTGGGTTAGAATACAAAGGGAATGTAGTGAAAGGGATACAATGGTAGGAGTCTATTACAGACCTGCAAACCAGGAGCAAGAGCTTGACCAAGAATTTACCAGGGAACTGGCCGAGGCTGCCCGCTCTCGGTACATGGTTCGCATAGGAGACTTCAACTACCCAGACATCTCATGGGAAGAACACTCAGTCTCAAAGCTTCCTTATATGCATGGATAAGCTCTACCTGTTCCCAGAAGTTTATGAGCCAACAAGAGGTAAGGTGCTGCTGGACCTGGTACTGGCCAAAGGGGATGATCTAATCAGTGACCTAAGAATTGAAGGGAAGCTGGCTGACCGTGACCACGAGTTGATCACTTTTACTATCCAACGCAAAGCTGGCAAGTCAGGCAGCAATGCAGTAGTTCTCCACTTTAGGAAAGCTGACTTTCATAAACTCAGGAGGCATGTTCTTGAAGCCCTGAGAGGCCATGATTTCACAGGGAGGGGAGTTCATGATGAGTGGTTGCTCCTTAAGGAAGCGATCCTAGAAGCACAAGGGAAGTCCATCCCAACCCATAGGAAAGGTGGTAAAAGGGCTAAACAACCCCCTTGACTCAACAAGGAATTTAGGACCTCCTACATCTAACAAGAGAGACTTATAAAGGATGGAAGACAGGAAACACCACTAAGGAGGAGTATTCTGCATTGTTCCTCACCTGCAGGGAGCAAACTAGGGAAGCCAACACCACAACTGAACTCCAGCTGGGTACACGAATCAAGGACAATAAAAAGTCCTTCTTCAGATATGTGGGGAGTCCAAAGAAAAACAAGGGCAGCACTGGAACCCTGCTATACCAGCTGGGGCAGCTGACTACCAACACCCAGGAAAAAGCCAGTCTGCTTAATGATGACTTTGCATTGGTTTTCCACCAGCCCAAAGGTACCACCCTGCCTAACGTGATGCAGGATGATAAGGGTGAGGAATATATGCCCACCATTGGCATGGATCTTGTGAGGGAGCATCTTGAGAGGCTAGACCCCAACAAATCAGCTGGTCTGGATAGATTGCATCCAAGAGTGCCAAAGGAGCCGGCAGACATCATAGTGTGGCCACTGGCAAGGATATTCGAGAACTTGTGGTGCTCGGGCAAAATACCTGAAGATTGGAAGAGGGCCAATGTGGTGCCCATCTTCAAGAAAGAGAGGGGAGAAGACCTGGGAAACTACAGGCCAATCAGTTTGACCTCAGTCCCTGGGAAGATTTTGGAAAAAATTATCAAAGAAACCATTCTTGACAGGCTACCAGAAGGCAACATTCAGGTTTGTTGCAGGTAGGTCTTGCCTGACCAATTTCATTTTCTTCTATGACTAGGTGATGTATCCCCTGGAGAAAAGGGAAGAGGTTCATATCATATATTTGGATTTAAATAAAGCCTTTGACCTGTTGTCCCATGATATCCTCATGGACAAATTGGGCAACTGCGGCCTCAACTACTCCATAGTCTGATGGCTGGGGAGCTGGCTCCAAGGTTGGACTCAGAGCGTGGTAGTTGATGGAACTGAATCAACATGGCACTCGGTGACTAGTGGCATCCCCCAAGGCTCTGTTCTCGGACCTGTACTCTTTAATATCTTCGTAAATGATCTGGACACTGGTGTCAAAAGCGCATTGGCTAAGTTCGCTGACGACACCAAACTTTGGGGAAGAGTGTCCACACTTGAGGATACACTGGTGATCTAGGCCAAACTCGATAGGTTTGCAAGGTGGGCAGATGAAAACCTTATGGCATTCAATATGGAGAAAAGCAAGGTGGTTGTAAAAAATCACACTTATAGGCTCGGCAATGCTACACTCACTAGCACCATGACCAAAAGAAACTTGGGGGTCGTGATTGACCAGAAGAAGATCATGAACCACTAGTGATACCGTGTCTGGCAAAGTGAACAAAACTCTGGCTTGCATCTACTTTCATGTCATCCTTCCTCTGTACTTGGCCTTGGTGAGGCTGCAGCTGGAATACTGCATCCAGTTCTAGGCTCAACAATTTAGAAGCATGTGGAGAAGCTTGAAAGAGTCCAGAGGAGAGCCACGTGCATGATCAGAGGGCAAGAGAACAGGCTTTATGAAGAGAGGCTGCAAGCCATGAGACTCTTCAGCCTGGAGAAGTGCAGGCTCAGAGGTGACTTGGTGGCAGCCTATAAGTACATAAAGGGTGTGCATCAGGATCTGGGGGAACACCTGTTCACCAGAGCACCCCAGGGGACGACAAGGTCCAACAGTCATAAACTCCTGCAAGACTGTTTTAGGCTGGACATAAGGAAAAACTTCTTCACTGTTTGTGCCCTCAAGGCCTGGAACAGACTCCCCCCAGAGGTGGTGCAAGCAACTACTCTGGACACTTTCAAGAAACATTTGGACGCTTATCTTGCTGGGATTCTTTGACCTTTGATGACTTCCTGCCTCTTGGGCAGGGGGCTGGACCCGATGATCTTACGAGGTCCCTTCCAACCATAATGTCTATGAAATCTATGAAATGTCTATAAACTAACCTCTTAGAAAAACTATCCTCATGGGGATCCCGCTGTGGCAGATTAAGTTTCATTAGGGTCCTGGGCCTGGGCACCCCCCTGACCCATGCCCTGCCCTGGAGCCACGGGCTCTGTCTTCGGCCGGTGAAATGGGAGCAGCGGCCAGAGCAGGACACACTGCCCCCAAGGCCAGGGGCAGGAGCCGCAGCCACCTGCGGGTCCGCACTGGAGCCACAGCCTGGGCCCAGGCAGGCAGGCCCCCACACAACACTGCCCTTTAGCTGGGCAGTGCCGAGGGTGCGAAGCCACTGCCCACTGGGCACATGCGGCATGGACTGAGCTCCAGGGGTGGCCCCTTGCCCTGCCATGGTGTAGTCCAGCTGCTGCAGCACCCAGTGAACGCACAGGATCACAGCCAGGCCAGGCTGGCACCTGGCTGCACTGGTGCTGTCCCATCACTGGCAGGTCCTGGCCACGCACTGCACCCATCTCCACTCCCTGCCACCGGCAGCTCTGGCCACTTCCTTAGCTCCAGCATGGTCATGCCCCACACCCCACCTAGTACCCAGCACCCATACCCTGCCTCATCACACACGCCTGGCCCAGCCCAGTCTGGCCACTGGTTTCGTCCTCGCCAAGCTGTCCCCCCTCCCCCCTGTGCCTGCCCTTGAGGCATCCAGGGGCCCTGGGCCCTGGCCCAGCTGGCCCATGTGTTAATCCGCCTGTGCTGAAACCACATGGATGCAGGGAGCCCAGGACCTGAATGCGCATGGAGATGAATTACTCTCTCATCAGAGACAGGATGGTCCCCTTGGGTTGGGCCTTCTGAGATCATTAGGAACTCAGTGTAGGTGATATGAGCCCTGAGTGAAAACAAAAGAATTCCCTTCTTCTGTCCCTTCTCCTTTTTCCTCTTTCCTGGGACAGAGTGGGCCCTACAGTGGAGAGCTGTGGATTCTTGTAAACCTCCAAGTTCTCAGACCATGGGCATGCATGCCATGTTGCCTCTGAACAAACCAGGGACACAATACCACGGCAGCCTAACCTGATCCGCTCTTCTTAGCAATGATCCATACCTATGACCCACCCTTTAGAGAGCAGGACAGCAGCATTTAGCTCTTGTAGGAGCTCTGTTGGCCATGGAGGTCTCATTCTTATTTCTGCATTGCTGATCCCAGGCTGGCAAATAAGCAAGACAAGGTAGATGCTCTCCTCCCATGTGAGCTGATCGAGTGCCTGTCCCTGGAGAAGCTTGTGAATGAAAATAAGTCTCTGTGTCGCATTGTAAGTATGAGATGAGCCTGCCCAGTATGAAGTAGTTGCTTCCATTGCATCAGCACCTCCAGTAAGCCCATACCTGAAAGACCCCAAGACAGTGCAGGGGCATGAATGTGGCAAATACAGAAGCAACAAATCTTGGGTAACTTAATGTGTTTTGCCTCCCCTCCCCATCCCCACTCCCTTAGTATTGCAGCTCGGAGACTTTCTCATGCTGTTTGACAGGAAATAATAATCATACTCAATCTCTAGTGTCTCATCACTGCATATAATAGGCAGCTGCTTTGAAATATTTGGCCCAATAAAAGTGAGACAAAAATCCCCTTCTATCCAAGAAAAGCAAATAAAACTCTGGCTTGCATCTACTGATGCATCTCCAGTAAGACCCAATAAGTCATCCTCCTGCTGTACTCAGCCTTGGTGAGGCCGCAGCTGGAGTACTGCATCCAATTCTGGGCTCTGCCCTTTAGAAAGGATGTGGAGAAGCTTGAGAGAGTCCAAAGGAGAGTCATGGGCATGATTAGAGGGCAAGAGAACAGGCCTTATGAGGAGAAGCTGAGGGACATGGGACTCTTCAGCCTGGAGAAGTGAAGGCTCAGGGGGGACTTGGTGGCAGCCTAGAAATATATAAGGGGTGTGCATCAGGAACTGGGAGAACATCTGTTCACCAGGGCACCGCAAGGGATGACGAGGTCTAATGGTCACAAACTGCTGGAAGATCATTTTAGACTGGACGCAAGGAAAAACTTTTTTACCATCAGACTCTCCAGTGTCTGCAATAGTCTTACCCCAGAACTGGTGCAAGCACCTACTCTGGATACCTTTAAGAAATGCTTTGATGCTTATCTTGCTTGGGTGATCTGACCCCAGCTGACTTTCTGCCCCTTGGGCAGGGGGCTGGACCCCATGATCTCGCGAGGTCCCTTCCAACCTTTATGTCTACAAAATCTACGAAAATCCTTGCAAAACAGGCTGGTAGATTGGATGGCTGTGTATGTGTTTGTCACTGCTGCCCTCTACTAGACCTGCTCAAGAGTGCACAGTGTGGATTATTCTAATATTATAAAAGCCTAAGTCTGTCTGTCCGTAACACTTTATTCACACTCTGGCTGACAAACAGCCAATCAGAGTGTGAAGAAGCATTCGTACAGAAGGCAGCCCCCTGCCACGATGGTGGGAACACGGGGTGAAAGGGGGGTGGGGCGAGGCCAGCAGGGCTCCCTGCAGGTAATGTGGCGGGGAAGTGGGCCTGAGCCTAACACGGGGGGGAGGGATAGGGAGCAGTCCCAGGTCCAATGTGGGGTGGGGGTGCAGACCCCAAGCAGCAGGAGGGAAGGGGGAGCAGGCCCAGACGGGCGGGCAGGGATCCATCCCCCCCCCCGTCATTCTTTACGGGCAATTGGCTAGTTATTACAGTAATTCCTCACAGCCAAGGTCAGTAGTCACTCCCTGTTACTGCTACATGCTCCACAAACAGAACAAAAGGATGGTCCCTCTCCGTGGAGAGTTTGCAGTCTAAGAGAAAAGACAAACAGAAGAGCCCAGGGGTCAGTGTTGGTTACCAGTGGAGTCAACACACCAGCACCTTCCCTGTTGCCATGGTTTTCGTAGGCTTCATGGCCTAGGAAAGTTTTGAGGGATGGTAGAGTGACAGCTTTGCAGGTGTTTCCAGGGAACTCCTTGTAGGCATCAGAGTGTAAGGGACCAGGGCATAGGCAGTCTGGCCTAATGGTTAGGTCACCAAGGGAAAGCAGGTTCTGGGGCTAGGTCAGAGGGCGGGAGCCACATACCACAGCCAGGGGGAGATCCAGAAGCAGAGTCCATGACACAGTCTAGTGTCAGAATCGGGGGGTCAAATGAGTACCAATCTGGGGGGCTGTAACAGGACCTGTGCCCTAGGGGCAACCATCACAACCCCTGATGGCAACTCAGCTCCTGCTGCACTGTATCTCTAATGTACCCTCCCTTTGCTCTTGTCTGCCATACCTTGATTTTATTAACAAACTTGGAAAGAGAGGCTGCCTAAGGGTCTTAGGGCAATCGTAACCTGTCCTCTGTACTTGCGGATCCTTCTCAGATCTCACTGTTCTCAATCAATCAGTCTTTCCTCCTAGGTGGGCTCTCTTGGCCTGTGTATGCTCCCAAGGGCACCCATTGCCTTATGGGCTAATTGTAGTCTCCAACCTCGCTTGTAGTCATACCCATGTCTTGCAGGTGTACCAATCAAATAGTACAGTGGGCCTAGGCCCCAGTCTCTCATCCAGATTTATCCTCCTTTTCAGTCTCTAGTCAAACTCCACCTCTCCTGGGGCCAGGCTTTCTCTAGCCCAGCTCTGCCCTTCTTTGGGTGCTGGGCTCTCTCTAGCTCCTTTTCTGCCCCCCTCTGAGTGTTGGGTTCTTGTTAGCCCCTTCTTTGCCCGTCCTGGGCTGTGGGTCCCTGACCCTCATCACTACCCTTTGTGGATGGCTATACTACCGCTTGCCCTGCCCCCTTCTGGTCACTCCCTGAGCTGTTTGCAGGTTTCTCTAACAAGCTTTGCTTACTGGTCTTCCAGGTAGCCTGTGGACCTAGCAGTTGTAGCCTTGCCTTGTCTTGTCTGCCACACAAGACTGCCTTATACTACCGCCAGGAATCTGCTAGCACTGCATTAGGCTTCTTGCTCCTCACGCTGGTTACTTGTGGTATTGCTGTTCAACTAGCTTAGCAATAGGCACTTCTCATTTATGAGCTCTGGCTGCCTATCCCTTTACAGCTAGCCGCCTTTTTGTCTTTCTGGGCTCCGTTTGCCCGTACTTTTCCTCTGTAAGTAACAGGAGCCATAAGCTACCTGTTACAGGGGCAGTCCATGGGGCAAAATCCAAAACCAGAGCCAAACCAGGAGTCAAGAAACAGACCTACGGAAAAATCCAGAGCCAAAGTCCAGAAATAAGATGAGAACCAGAATCAGGATGCAGGAGAACCAGAGTGCAGGAACCAGGAGGCTTGCCACAGCAAAACTGTTGACTGTCCTGCAGACCCAGGTCCCTAGCTAGTGCCAGATGGATAAGTGGTGCTCCCAGCAGCCAATCAGGATGCTTACTGCTCCTAAACTGAGGCAAATTAGCTGGGTCTTGCTGCAGTACTTGGTCCAGGCTGCCTGTCTGTGCACTGTCCCTGGCAGCACTGGGCCCAGGCTGGTCTGCCTGCTCAGCATCCCTGATGCAGAGGCAGCATGGAAGAAAGTAAGCAGTTGTTTGCAAGCTTTAAAAGTGGGCTTTGGAGTCTGGTTTCACTGGGAGTCCACATCCCTGATAGCAAATAAGAACTGAGAGCAGGGATGCGACAGGCCAGAAAGCAACTTGAAAGAAGAGACAAGCAGGTTTTGTGTGGCATGATAGAGAAGTTGGAACCAACAAAGGGGTGAGCAATCAGTGCAGTGAGTCAGGAACTGACATCTGCAGCAGCAGCTGCATGGACAAGAAAGGGATATCTGCACTTGTCCAGGCTGGAGTGGGAAGAGGTTGCAGTCAGTAAGGGGTGAGGCAGTGAGAGCTTGGCTGGAAGTTGTAGTATGGCAATGTTATGCAGGAAGTCAGGTGCTGATGTAGCTGTGTGAGGAGATACCCAACATCCGGCTGTTGTGTGCAGATGTTTTCCTCACTGCCTTGCCATTGTGTTGCAGCTGCAGACACTGACCCAAGTGTTCTCCTCTCTTTGTGTCCCACAGGAGCCATGTTCAACAACCAGGAATCTCCATAAAAGCCAGTACCGGGCCACCCTGCAGGGGCTGCACTGGATTCTGCAGACCATTGCAGTCAACTACAGCTTACTGTCCACCCGGGTACAAGCAGACTTCCCTGAGCAGCGGAGCCCCCACAAACAGGAGGCTCCAAGGAAGACAGAACGGGCCCACAGTCAAGCCCAGGAAGAGAGGTTTGCTCTACAAAGCATTAATATTTTGAGCCATTGCCCAGACTATCATCCAACAGGAGCAGCATTTTCATTCCAGATCAGGGCAGGGAGACAGTAATGCCCAGGAAAGCCCCAAGGGCAAGGAGTATTGTTCTCATTCTGGTGTAAGGTAGGCGTAACTTGGTTGAAGCAGAAAGTTGTTTACTGCTCCTAAACTGAGGCAGATTAGGGTCAAACCTGTTTGACCCTAATCTGTTTCCACCAGGGTCAAACCTGTTTACAGCTAGGAGGGAACTGAGGCCAGAGGAGACACTAAATCACAGCTGAAAAGAGTTGTGCCAGGCCTGTGCTGCTCCCTCCAAGCTAGAGGCAGAGTGAGTCTGTGCCACATGCAGTAACAGTGGCCATTTCAAAGGACTTCAGAGTTAGCTGCAAGCTTCCCTCTCATGGCAGGTTCTCTGGTTTCAGGAGCCCTGAAACCCAGTGTGTGACCTGCCCAAGAGAGAGCAGCTGTTCTCAAAAATGGGAGGATGGGAAAGGCAGCCATTTTAGCTGGCATGGTGAACACTGGTGTGGCAGGGGAGCATGTGAGCACAGGGAACTGCTTTGCTATTTGGGTGTCGGGTAGGTTTCAGAACCAACAAAGACCCATGTCAGAGCCCAGACCAAAGCCAAAGACCCCCTGAATTAATCTTTCAGTGTGTTTGGAGAGAAGGGGAGGGGATGGCTGCCATTCAATGAATGGGGAGAACCTACAGAGTGGTAGGCTCAGCACCACATGAGCTCTCTGCT